TGTAATTTTAGAACAGGTTGAAAATTGAATGCCCTAAAATAGTTTAATGATAGACAAACAGTACCGGAGAGATATTTCCACCCTGTTGGGATTTATCAACACTGATTCAAGTACCTGAAAGGTACTTCACAGTCGTCAAGGTTCAGATAGTATCAAAAAATAATGGTACGACCGTGCTTGCATAAATGAAATTAATTCTGAGCGGCGTAACCGATAGTTAATCCGAGTGCTTCTTCCTGGGAGATTTGAAACCAACGTTTACGAACTCTCACAGATGAGATAGCTACCTGTGGCTTGACAACCCGACTATCCACCAAGCTGTCGTCTTTTTCTCTGTCGTCATCGTTTAAGAGCCTTGATTGATTACTTTATGTTTATTGTCTACAGCGGTAACAACAAGTATGAATCCCAAACAATGGCCACTGACCCTTAAAGTATAGCTATGAAAATAACCCTGCCACGGAAACACAACGGGTAAGAATTATCAACATTTACTTTAGGAGGCACAACGAGTGAAAGCACTCCCTGGGACTGGTGTTGTGAATAAATCTAAGTGAACTAGTATATAAAATCGTAAACTAGCTCCCCTGTGGACTGGGAACCAATCACGGTAAAGCGGGGATCCGAGCCAAGACCAAGGTCATCAAATTATCCGGGTGCATAAAGCTACTACTGACTGACTGACTGACAGTTTAGCAAATCACTCGCCAATTCTGTGAATAAAGCCTGTCAAGGGAGTTTATTTGGAGACACGCGAAATAGAAATCCATTAAACCCTCGATACAACACTTGATTTCGATTCACAAATAGATTGCTCCCTGAGTAAATATGATTACCATCAACGTAGTGCAAAATGCCGTGAAGAGAACTCCGTTGCTCGTTGCCAAACTAGCAACATACACAAATGGTAACGGAATGTGTAAGGTGCATGGGCTTATTTGGGACCTATTTCAAGGGAAGGGAAATGTAAGTGAACCCCTATAGTCAACACACATAGACACACACAAACACAAACAGACAGACAGTTTTCACAATTTTGATTCGATCAAATGCACACCAAATTACCAAAACAGTGATCACGTAACAATGACAGTTCTCTATGCACAATCGGTCCATAAACAATAAAACGAGACTGATCGAATCGACAAAACAGGCATATGACCTTAGATGGATAATTGGATATCAGGTGTATGACACTGATAATCCGGAGGTAAAAGTTAATCGGTATTAGATATTGCTCACTTTATCTATCATCCTCTCAAGACTTGCATTGGTGCGAGTTCTCAAACATAGTTAGTTGATCATGAGTAAAACTTCAATATCCCGCAATCGACTACGGTACACTAGTAAACCCAAACAATCGGATTTTAATGATCCAAATATCGCACGCAGTTTATCAAGATGGAGAAAGCATGCATCGGGCTCAAACCTTTTTCGTCACACAACGAATATAAGGATGCAATCGAACAATAGGTAAAATGATATGCAGTATGGATGAAATCGCTGGATTTATGAAATGCCAAACTGGAACATCAATTACTACTACCACAAAAATGACGGAAACGAGACGAATTGGTGAAAACAAAACCCAGTGACTTAGAATGACCAACTGTGTGCCGTATCAATCCGACCAGGGCAACCGATAGCCTAGATTCCACAGAAACAAATAAGGTATCAGCCGGACTGGTGTGATATGAAACCGAGTGACCAGGAAGATGTGTACTCGCAAAGTTGGATGATGGTTGCGGCATTCAAACCGCAGGCGTCTAAGATCGATATGTCTAGTAATGACAGTCACTTACACCGATTGGTTGCCATTACCACCACCACTACCACAGAATATAAGCAAATAAGACGAACAGATTCCGCACACAGTGATTCGGGTCTCGTGTTGAATGAGCGGACCACGGAGTAGAGATCCGAAGCGAAATTCCCAAACTCAATTCAATTGGGTGTATGAGAACCGGGTTATGTGTGTGTGAGAGAAAGTCAAACAATCCAAGCAATAGAAATAGATGCTTGATTTTGCGATAAGAAACAAGAAGTGTCAAGAAAAAGCAACTGGTAAAAAACGTGGCACTAGTAGGAGCGTCACGTGACCGGCATCCGGAAAACGGTCATCGGACTGCCCGAAGATGCGTATTCGTGTGGGACTTTTATCGATCGAAGAAAAAATGATACAGAAGAAAACTCAGCTACACAAATACGATACGATACGATATCAGCGAAATAACTTCGAATCACAAATTCAGTGAGTAAGGCACAAAAAGATGCTGGTGTTGGTCACAATGGAATTACAGTGCACAACGTAATGGAATGACCAATTGTTTTTTTTGCCCACTACTTTACAGTAGTGCAAGTCATCTAGTTCATCCTTCACAAGCTAATGAAGAAAGGTTCAGTGCAAGGAACCCGATAAAAAACTTAATTGATTGAACAAAATAAAGAACAAATAATTCAGTAGTGTGTGCGAGATAATTAGTATCCATTCAGAGACGACCGTAATTGAACTCATCTGAAACAAAAAATAGACTATCTTGACCGGCGTAGTCACTGGATTTGGTGAACAGAGGGCTAATGTACTCTTAAAACGTGGGTCATACAAATCACATGCATCAAGGACACAACTTGGAGTTGAAATCATACGCTCACACGCCGTGCGATTTAGTCAGCCATGACTCCCGGGCAAAGCGGGCACATTTTACCCAACGGGAAATGAAAGTTAGTGGACGAAGACACTGATAATATAGACGGGAAAAAGATTTCGACAGCAAGCAAACGTACTCATGTGTGGTGACTACGACTAGCTTCAAATAAGTATAGCAGTGCTTCAAAACTCAATGAACATGAAAATACCCGATAACAGAATACAAAAACAATACGATACACGTAATAACTTCAGTACCGAGAGACGATAGCCCCACCCCACTCCACGATTGATAAGCGAAATGAATGAGCGAAGAAGAATACATCATGCGGATAGACCAGTGGAATACAGTAACCCTCAGCGAAAGAGACGGCAAAGGGTGACCAAAGTTGGCCACATGTACTAACCCAACTTGAGGTATCACGTACAACACTTTGAGGATAGACACATACTTCTTAGGTACTCCATTTCTAAACAAAAAAATCCATAGTGCGGTTTGATCGATGAAATCGAAGGCCGGGCGAATGTCTAAGAACACAATGATCGTTGGTCTGTGGTGAGCAAAACGCTGTTCTAGCAATTGTCGGACGGTGAACATTTGATCGATGCATCCACGATCAGCGCAAAACCTAGCCTGCTCATCGCGGGTCTGNGCTCTTCACGCTTCCTGTGCAATCTACGAAGAATTACGGACGCTAACAGCTTCGAAGCTAGTGGGATCAGGTTTATCCACTGAGGTTGGGGCAAACACTGCGCGTCTTCCTAAATAGAAATAACGATTGATCTACTCTCCCCCGAGGGGACCTGCGTGGTGTCCTAAAAATTGGAGAATAGAACATGCAGTTCTCTACCAAGCTTAATTTTACCTTAATTTTAAATAGAACTGGGAGATCATTGGTATCTGGAGTTTTGTGACGTCTGAAAACTTGGATCTCCTTGCGGATTTCTGCCTCAGAAGGTGAATCTGTTCAGACGGTCTAGAGAACTTGTGCCGAAATAGCTAGTGACCTGCTAAAGTGTTCTCTGAAGTACTACGCCCAGCTTGTAAGACGTCACTGTTGATTGTGAATAAACGAACCGTCAGCTTCACATATTGCTTCGCTCACACCCAAAGCTTTCCTACTTTACTTACTTTACGGCGGCTGGCTCCTGGGAGAGGATAAGCCGGCTTTATCGGCACCACAAAATTTCTTGGGAATTAGGTACAGGAAACGTCCGCAGTGTTACCCGGCTTTGGGTCGAGGTGGTATCTCTACCCTCTGTGCTAACTGCAAGGTAGCAGGAAGACGTAGCATGATTGCCGGTGGCCTTCTGGTGGGAGCTCATACGCTATTGACAGTTTCTAGCCGAACATGGTTCTAGGCATTCCTGATAAGCACGGAATCATCGCCTTGACCGTTGAGTCATGCAAACGAATTCGTCCGCCCAATACGTACGTTAGACACCGACTCACCGAGAGTTGAGCTCCCGGTCACCCTCAACCTGGTTTGGCTCTCATGTCGTGCGGTTTACCGGGGTGTGGCCGCGGTTGCATCCAAACAGCTTCTTGGAGCCATAGGTGAGAGCTGAGCTCCTGGTGAAGACCAAAGAAAAAAGGATGGCCACAAAAAGGGACCGACAGCCTTCTGAGTCAGAGGTGTTACTCCTACTGGGTACCCCATACACCACTGTGACTCGAATGGGATAGAACAGGTTAAAGGGAATTTCCCATGGGTGGGTGGCAGTGGTGGAGCTCGAACCTCGAACCATAGAGTTCAAAGTACACCGGTGACAGCAACTAAACCACTGCGCCATCACCACCCAAACCACAGCGAATGATGGATTAGAAAGGAGTGTTGCAGTACGATCGATAGTCTTGTGTACAGCCCCGTCATTTGCAGATTGTATCGATGTGGTTGATTTGCGTACGTCGTTGACTCAAGGAGGGCGGAAACCAAGTGGTGTGCCGGCAATTGGATCGTTTAAAGTAGGCACTGATGAGGAATAGATGTCTGTCAGAATATGAAGCCAACAGCCATTCCCCCGTTTTCGAAATGACTGGAACCTAATCCGAAAGGACCTTCCGGATACATCTCACTCAAACACATCTGGTTTACTGTAGCGTTCATATCTCCTGCTGAGATCACGATATCAACCCGACTTTCTTCTCGCAAGAGGTTGTGTGGTTTTCAGTACAAAATATGTTTGACTGCATATAAGCAGTCGTTCGTGGGTACGTATGCTGAGACAACAGATGAGTTACTTCTCTCAGAGTGACAAATGTTTACTTAACACGAGCCTCTAAGTCTCACTGCATACAACCGACTGCCGACTGAAACCCAAACTAGGGGTGCGGCTTCGGTTCTCTTGCTGAGAGCCACGTCAACGCCAGAAAGACCAGAAGTCACAGCCTCAGTTTAGCCAGAAAAACTTCGCAGTAAGTTTTGATGGGGCAGTCAGTCGGATGCTGGAGCTAGATTGTCCATACGAGTTTCTTGGACACAACACGCATCGATGGCTAGGATCTCGAAAGGTACCGGATAAAAATTTCTGTTGCACTATACGCATCAGAGCACGCACGTTAAAAGTGGATGGTTTGATAGAGCACCGAGGACAGAGAAGAGCGTCAGCTGGTGGGGGATTCGGTTAAACTTGGATGCTAGTCAAGGCAGGACGTGAGAGAATTGTGGCAGGATTTCCACCTGATGCATAATTGTTAATGTGATCGTCTGAAGACCCCGATGGCATTTCAAATGTGCGATGGGTGATGGGGGTTAATGAGAGATGGAAGAAAAATTGACAAGCAGGAAAATCTGTACAATGTAGAATGGTTTTCTCTAATTGAGGAAAGTTGTGAATGCAGAGTCGTTAATGGTTTATTTTACTAATGGCATGATTTTCACAAACTATACCCAAGGACCTGCTGGTTACCAATTGGATTTCAAATATTTTCTTGTTTTAACCTCATTCGAATTTAAATACACAGGATCTGTGTATTTCAATCTCGGTGCACTTTTCACTCCAGATCGGATCAGATCAGATCAGATCACAGACAACAAACCAACGCGATGTTTCTCGCAGTCGAAACCACGAGTCACAGATAGCGGTCGCTAAGGATGGCGATGGACAGGCAAGAGTAGTACATGGTTACCAAGCGGTTTGAGTAGCTATATATTTTACATATTTCACACACGTCTGATGCCAGACAGTGTGCCAAACAAAACGTGGTACAATAATCTTTATAAAAAGAAAAATATTCCACGATTTGCAAGTGGGCCGCATACTGCCAGGTTACCCTGGCCAAGGCAGGTGAATTTTATTGAGGAATTCACAAACGGAGCCTTTGGCTAGCCGAAGTGTGACCCGCAAGGCAGCGGGTGGGTGTACGAGAACAGCAATCCATTGGGAGCCGGTTTCCAGTAGCTAGCAACGGTGTACTTCGGGCCACAGGGTCCGAACCCCGTTACTGCTACCCAGCTTTGGAGTTAGAACGTCTAGCTATCGGTCGGCCTATTTGTACACCTATGCAAGTGGGACTGTATGTGACCTCGTCAATCTAAGTCCTTGAGCATGTTGCCGGTCTCCGCGATTGAACAATGGGTCCTCGTGACTATGGGGTTTACCCCTTCTGCTGTTTATAACGCAATGCCATGTGAAAAAGAATATTTTACGAAAATCACTCGGGGTGGTGCATTGTGGTTACTTTGTTTAATGGAAACTAGCAATAGACTACATTCACCGTGGGGCATAAGGGGTGCCTGAAAGGAGAGTAACCTCTGAGTTGGTAGGGTACTACGTTCTTTAGGATATACCCCGTCATCATGGTCCCTACAATTTACTCAACTCAGATGTAGCTCCATGAAGTTAAGGCAAGCATCAGCGGCCCCCCCCCCCCCCCCCTGGCAAACCGTTTAACGGGCAGGATGAACTTGGTTGAGGAAAATCACGGGTAATGTTCCGCAGAAACACTGTCTCAGAGGGAGTTTGATTAAGATATCTGCGATCGACATGACCAACTGACTACATCCCAAATCACCAATGAACTTAAACAGAGATAGTTGTATGATGTCAGTATTCGTTGCACGTTCACAGTGTGATTACAACCTGTCAGCCGAACAACAAACCAGACAATTATGCAAATTTGATTCAGACTAATGTAACTATTCAATGAAGCGTCTGAAGAACCTTCGACTTTGTGCAGTGGTCTGATGCACTATCTGGACTAAATTTGTACGCCTCTTCAAAAATAATTGCCAGTGTATCAAGTCAATAACGGGTGTTAACCGCTTACGCTGAAATACCTCTTTGAAGATTTCCTAAAAGTATGCAATGGTTGTGGAATCCGAGTAGGGAGATAGGTGAATAGTTGGAGCGAAAAGTTATCCGTCGTTTCTTATATAGGAGTCATGTAGCAACTGATAGCAGTCCACTTGAGCAGATATCTAAACCGACCGCAGGTATACCGTTAATTATTCCCGAACGATTACAATCAGTTACACTACCACTACAGTGAGTGACGTCCAATTTTAATTGCACTAGCACAGTTGCCCAAGTAAAAATGGAACGAACTGATCAGATTAATCACCCAGTTATAATTATTATGAAGCTGACGTTGATCACAATTTATAAGTGAAAAATTCCATCGGATTGCGGTGGGCCCACGAATATGAGTGAATATGGACACTGTCTGAGGAAGGGGCATTCACGTCTCTATCGGTGGAAGTTTATTCTATGTTGTATGGTAATGTCAAGCATGCGCAAGCATGAAGCTAACATGTTAGCAAACAACTAAACAGTTAACTGACTGTGAAACAAGGTGTGAAAAAGCACAGTAAGTTCCGTTTTCCGAAGAAAAAGTGGTGAGTAGTTAACTGAACAGATTCGGCTCACCGTTCGTCCTCCATCTCCAAACTCGATTCGCTTTCGCTTAATTGTCTGGATAGAGCCTCACGACGCTCTTTCTCCATTTGAAGCATTTTTCGCAAACGGCGATTCTCCTCGATTGCCGATCGCTCCTCGGACTCGTACATGGGCATTTTGCTAGCATTCTCCGCCTCGTGCATGGCTAGCAACTGGCGAAGATGACACACCTCATCACGCAACCGATTGACATAAACGGCCGTGATATGCGAATCCCAGTTAGGGGCCCCGTTCCCAGATACGGCCGAGTTTGGAGCCTCCGTTTTGGTCACGGCCATGGGGGTAGATAGCGGTTTATGGTTTTGTGAATGAGGCTGATTAAGCGAGCCACAAGTTGCGCCAGCACCGGAATCTATGAAAGTGAAATGAAATTCGCAAAGGGGATTCGGTTGAAACAAATACTTTGCAGCGTAAAGAACAAACAGGGGTTATAAAGGTTCTGAAATGAACTAAGCACCAAGGACAATGATGAACCCATGATCTGAATCAACGATCACAGTAAACTGCGACCTGAAATTCGGGCCGATCCGAAATTAACAGTGTGGTAAGGCTCTATGAATATATATAT